TTCCCGTAGCCCTGACAAAAGGTGATGAGATGTAAACAGTGGGGTTTTAGCCGGTAGGAGTCCGGCATAACCTGTCTGACGCCTACACGACAGACGGGTATCCATGAGGATTTCCCCACGTAAAAAAAAGTTAGGTTAGGTTAGGTTAGGTTAGGTTAGGTTAGGTTAGGGGACCCAGAGCGGTTAAGGTTAGGTTAGGTTAGGTTAGGTTTTTTTTTGTATGCTTTGCTGTTTCCCTCTGACATAAAGGTCAGAGACATTGTCAGCTCGACACGGACTTTAAATTCTTGTTTTTTTTTATTTCCTTTGTCCTTGATATAATGAAGGGTGTAGAGGACTCCGGGTTTTCGTTCGGGAGTCCTGCTACTCTTAATCTAATGCATGCAAACAATATATTCGGATACTTAATGCTAGGGGCAGTGACAACTTATTTATTACTTACTCGACTAATATTTTTCTTAGTTATTGCTTATATTCTATATAATTTATTATTATACATATTACAATTTATTTATAATGCTGATCTGTAATATAATACAATATATTATGACAGCATCCTTTCTTAAACAGTTTTATTCCTAGTTATTACTCTTTTTTGCGATTTTTAAACAATAACTCATAAATTTTTCTCTATATTTACTAATCATTATAATACTTATATTCTCTTTTATTAACTTTAATTTAATTTCATTTTCTATTTTCAGGCGCTCTGCGGCATATACGGGACACTCCAGCAAAATGTGTGGCACAGTTTCCTCAACTTCGTAGTTGCAGATGCACGATGGATTCTCTTTACACTTAGAACGGTGTAAGTATTCCGAAAATCCACCGTGCCCCGTCATGATTTGAGTCGTCACGCTGCTTGCTTCGAATTTTCTTACAATTCGGTAGGCCATTTTCACGTCTGGGAAAAACAACTTTGTAATGTTTGCTGTCTCGCCAATCTGATATCTTCGATTCCATTCGTCCAGCGTTGCTACTCGAATGCTTCGCTTGACGAACAAAACCGGGCAAAGATCGTAATCCGGTCTCACTTTGGAATTTTTGGCAGCCTCTTTTGCTAGACCATCTGCTCGCTCATTCGCCTCTAAGCCCGCGTGGGCTTTAATCCAAAACAAAGTTACTACTTTGTCTTGGAGAGATATTGATCTTAAGTTATCTCTGCATTCCACGGCTAACGGGTGCAGGCAGTTTGGGTTTTTGATCGTTTGAAGGGCCGCCATTGAGTCGCTGTAAATTCCAAAGGAGGACGCGCTGTGTTTGAGGATTCGCCTAGTCGCCCTGCAAGTGGCCAAAAGCTCGGCTTGATACACTGTACAGTATGTTGGTAGAGCAAGTTTGAGGGCTTTGTTTTCGGTTTTCTTTCTCCATTCGGAAAAGGCAGCGCCAACCTTGCCCTCAATTTTGCTCCCGTCCGTAAATATGTGGACGTCTAGTTTGCTGTATCTGTTCACCTGTTCCTCATTTACCAAACTTGTGACTTCTAATTCCAGACGCTCAGCAGGGTGTGCGCCCTCAACAGCTGAAGCCATTCTCTCGACTTCCCTTCCCGCCAACCCTGGCTGGGGCACCCCTTTCTTGGATTCGTATAATGAAGCCGCCTCACGGACTCGGAGGTCCAGGGGGAGTATTCCGGCCAGTAATAGCGCCGAATTCAGAGAGACAGTTCGGTAGGCTTTGCATATTTTTTGCGCAATACCGCGTTGGACTACGGAAAGTTGTTTAATTACCCCCAGCTTTTTTGCAGCTTGTGCCCAGACGCTAGCAGCGTAAAGAATAATTGGCTCTACGGTGGCAAGATATATTATTCTTATTACTTCCGGATGAAGTCCCCAACTAACCTTCGCCGATTTGCAAAGTTGTTTGTAGATGCCGATTGCTTTTCTACACACATTGGCTACATGGGTATTAAAAGTGAGTTTATCGTCAAAAGTTACACCCAGTAGTTTTATTTCTTTTGACGTGCCAATGTCAGTACCTCCCATGCTTAGGCGTGGTGTGACGTATTTCAGTTTCCTAGTTAAAATCATCACATTTGTTTTATGTGGAGCAAATTTCAGTTTATTTTCAACACCCCACGCCCGGACATGTTCGAGAGTGGCATTGGCACGTCTCTCCACCTCGTGTGTCGTGTCGCCGTCGAAGACTAAAACGACGTCATCCGCAAATGCCTGACAATAATCTCCCCTGCATTCCAAACTTTTCAAGAGAGGGTCCAATAAGAGATTCCATAGGATTGGGCCTCCTATGGATCCTTGGACACAACCTTTGTTTGTGCCCTTGGTGTATTCCTCTCCAGCGTATTTGACTACGACTTTCCTGTCCCTGAGATAACTATCCATAACCCTCCTCAAATTTAGCGGACACCTTTCCTCAGCCAGTCGAACTCGTATGGCTGGCCACCAGGCGCTATCAAAAGCCCCCTCTATGTCCAATGATACTAGTGCTATGATTTTCTTTTGATCTAGCTTCATATGGATGAACTGCATTAATACATAGAGGGAGTCTTCAGTGCTCCTCTGTGGCATGAACCCGTACTGGCGAGTACTCATCCTTGGCAAAAGGTGGAATTTGAGGCGGGCCACTAGCATTTTCTCGAAAATCTTTCCCAATATTGGTAGCAGTCCAATAGGCCTGTACGCTTTTGGAATAGTGTAGTCTACTTTGCCTGGTTTTTTAAGCACTATAACAGTAGCTTTTTTCCAGGTTTCTGGAAAGTGTTGTAGCATAAAGCATTTATTGAGGAAGGCCAGAAAAAGCTCAGGGTTGCTTTCAATAGCATGTAGGCATATATCGGCCGTGAAACCGTCCGCTCCCGGAGCCTTTTTTGGGGTTGAATGATTGATACGCCTGTTTCAATTCTGACATTGTGAACAAAGGATCACACAGGTCATCTTGCTCGATGGAATTCACTTCGTCAGCTTTTGTTCTTATAATGCGATGATAAGTGGTTTCGCATTCTGTTTGGTCTTCCGGAAAGAAAGTTTCCGCCAGTAACTTCACTGATCCTTGTGCATTCAACACCACATTGTTCATTTCCAGTGGCACTTCCTCATCCCTGCGCATTGTTCTCCCAATTACCCTATAGATACCCTCCCAGACCCCCTCTTTATCCTGTTTGCAGCAAAAGTCTTTCCAGCTCTCGATCTGAGCTTTGACCGCTTCTGACTCATACCTCTTTTTTTGTTCCAGGTACTCTTTTACGACCTTCTGTCTACGGACTGGGGCTGCGCATTTAATCCTACGTTTCTTAGTAGTGACTTCCTTTTTCATCTCGGCGAGCTTCTCAGACCACCACGGCAAGTTAAGCTCTTCTGTAGCTTTTTTGGTTGGCATTGCTTGCTTGCAAGTTTCTGTTATTGATTTAGTTAATTTATCTGTTGCTATATCTATTTGTTGTATGGTTTCAATTTTTTCTATTTCTGGTTTGGTGAATTTAATTTCTGACAGCAATTGCTTAAGTTTCTCATGAAACTTAGGCCAATTTGTCTTCTTGGTATTAAACAATCTCGTCGTTCTATTTACTCTTAAACCTATTGATTTTTGAAGCCGAATGTTAAAAACAATTCCGTTGTGGTCTGACCTCGTGAGACCTTCATCAACTGTCCAGTCCTCTACCAAGTCCAAGATGTCTGTCGAGCAGGCTGTTATGTCGACGTAGCTGAAATATCGTTTTCCTCCTCGGATGGTGTCAAAGGTCGGAATTTTCCCGCTGTTCAGTATATTCAGGCCCAGCTCCTCGAGAGCTCCTGCCAATTCTTCTCCTCTGTGGTCAACGGTCGGGCTTCCCCACCATATACTTTTTGAGTTTGCGTCACCTCCAGCAATCCATTTTGTAGATCCAATTTCTTGTTCTATCTTTTTGAGGTGATCAATGTAGGGCTCTATGGGCTGATCTGGTTCGAAGTAATACGAGACGAGTGTTATTTCCCAAGCTCTGGTTTGAATTCCCACCACAATGATGTTGTTTGTGGTGAGTTTTGGGTACTGTTTTACGTTTAAGTCAATGTTGAAAACGGCTACCGCTGCCTTAACAGTCCCTTCTCCTGGGCTAGAGTTTTGGAAAAACCTCGCGCCTCTTTGGCCTTTCATGGTGTTAGCACCACCCACATACGGTTCTTGAAGTAGTGCTATATCAGCTCCACGCTTCTGAGCTGCAATAAAAAGTTCGTGAGTTGCTAACTTTTTTGCGCTGGAGGTTCGCTTGAATTATTTTATAGTGGGTTTGTTGAACTTGTGCACCTTTAGCAATACGCTATAGTTGATCGGGCTAGTTCATCCCACTTCCGACGTGTTGGGCAATTCGAGCTAAAAGCGTTGTGTTCTGTCTGGTACAGTTTTGCTTTTGAGCAGTTGCGACACTTGGGTGGTTCACCAGCAAGCCAGTCACTACACTCGGATCTTAAGTGGGGGCCACCACAGTGGCTGCACAGGTCCGATAAATCTTTACAGAACCTCTTACCGTGTCCATATCCTAAGCAGCGGGTGCATTGCACCAGTGGGGATTGGTCTTCTGCTCTAACACGTTGTAAATCAATATGGACACTCCCAATTTCGATAACTCTTTGCCAGATGATAGGCGAAACACTGACAACAATATGGCTGGTGTGGGGATTTCTTGTTTTCTCCTATATTTTATTTCCATTCTGATCTCACCTTCTTCGAGACCGTGAAAGACACCGCGGTTTTGATTCTTTAGAGCCTTCATGACGTCTTCGTCTGTGTTAACAAGAAGTACATTTCTGAGAATCAAAAGTGGGTCTTTGTTTTTGACTTCTTCGATGGTGAGATTTACTCCTTCTTTTTCAAGCCGGTTTTTCATTTTGTTCCTATCCTCTTTTGTTTCAAAGCCCATAATGATTTTTCTATCCTTTGCTTTCCTTACCCTTCCAACCTTTATCCACCCTTCTTTTGCATCAGCTGCTTTTCTGACCTTATCCATCACCTCTTCCCCGGTTTCAGTTTCATCTTTTGATGAGACTACTACGGAATGTAGGGTACTACGTTTTGGGAAAGTTTTTATGATTTTGTCTGCAGTAACATTTGCGTATGTTGGCACTGTCACTCGCTCTAGGGTTCCTCTTTGCTTTTCCATCGATTCTTTCAACTCTTCCATCTTTTTTATTTGTTTCTAACAGCAATATTGCGTGCTCTTCAATCCTTGTTTTTAGGTCTGAATCTACGACTGAGAAGGTAGAGTCAATGATTGCAGTTTCCAGCTCCACCTTTTCACTCTTTTCCTTTTCTCCTTTTGACTTTTTCGCCTTTAGCTCTATTTCAGCTTCTTTAACAAGCTGATATAACCGATCTAGTGCTTCTACAATGCTATTTTTTATCTCTGTTTTTGTATTTCGAGAGGCATTCAAATGGAACTTACCTTTTGTTAAACAAGCCTTTGCTTCCATTGTTCGATTTTCATATTGCTGTTTTGGCGGAGTGTGTACTTCTACAGACACTTTATGCGTAATTTTACTGTTTTGTGACGCCGATACCGTTTGTTTTGTTTTAGCAGTACCCGCCTGCATCGTCGTGCTAGTCATGGATGGGGTGGAATCAATGTTAGCTTCCCAGTCATCTATGCTACGTCTTACTTTTGAAGTTTCACTTCCTGTTTTAGGAGGTGACTTTTCAGTCCGTGTCGATTTGGTTGGTGTTCTAATTCCAAGCGTTTTGGAGTTATGTGTCCGTGTAGCGTCAAAAAGACCGTAAGTAAAGGGGTATGTAATTAAATCAGCAAACTGTAAATTAAGAGAAAAATTTCGCGGGGAGGTCACGGATTTCATTAAACAATTTTTTAACAAATTGTTAAATTTTTAATACTAGAAAGTTAAAGAAAGAAAATAATTTCTTTCTAAAGTCAAATAAAACTATAAAAATGCGATGTTACAATACAAGGTAGGACTAGAGTAAAGTCAAAATATAACTATAAAACTTAATTTATAAAGTAAAATGTAAAAATATAATAAAAATAATCTATATATCACACATATAAAGGGAGTACAATTGTTACTCTATGTAGAGTCTTGGTCAATGACGCACAATAGTATGTGCAGACGAGCAAAAAATTTTTTCTCTTTAGGACCGTTTTTTCCCGAGTTTTTGGCTAACAAGTTTTCGGCTCTACGTAGAGTCTATTTTACATAACAAGCCAAAAGCGCTTTTCGAGCCCTTTTCAAAGACCCCAAACTCGATATAACTAGCCAAAGAGGTTCCAAAGTTACCGCGCTTTGAAGTTCTGGTTCCAAAACAAGATGGCTGCCAAAAGTATGGTTAAAGTGCTGTAACTTCCGAACAAATAGGCTTACAGCCCCGTGCTTGGGCTCATTTTGTTGGGCTAATACCAAACTTGGGCTGGTACCAAATTTTTGGAATCTGAACTTCCCAAAAAACTTTTGGCTTGTTCTAAAAGTCGTTGCTGATATCTTTAGTCAAAATCCCAGTCTTCTGAGACTTCTAGTTCGGGAGTTATGGGCCTTTTAAATTTTTCAAAATGGCCGCCGGTCCAGAAAGCAAAGGCTATTTTGGGCGTCCTTTATCCGATTCGGCGCGTCTTTGGACTCATCTAAAAGGTCTCAGTGTCAAGATTTAAAATAAATAGATATCTTGCGTTTTAAGCCCCCTTTAATTAAATTTTTAACGAAAATTGTATAATTTTTTTAAAATTTATAGATTTTTATGGCCAAGTTTCGTTTTAAAAATCTACAAAAATTTTGATACGCTATTTGCATTGTCCTTAATATGTTTATATGTTTTTCAACTTATTTACACGTAATATAAGGTACCACGTGTTCAACTAAATAATTTAAAAAATCCTAATTTACAAACTACTTACAAGAAAAATCTCAAATTTTTTATAAACATTTCTATTATTAATCTTTATACTATTTTATTATAAAAACTGTAGGTCTTCACTTTAGTTTTTGAGAAATTAAATTACGAAATTTTGAAAAAATTTAAAAGTTCAATATCTCTTTAGCCACTTAACTTATGAAAATTCCGAAAACTGCTCCCGGCTCCTCTCCACACTGGCCTCCAGAACTTGACTCCAAAAGTAGCCGCACGATTCTCCTTCACAAAACACGTGCCCACGTGGGACTTGTTTTTTTTCCTTTTATTCTGAGACTGTAGCTCAGAAAAATCCCAAATTTTGCATGTATGTAGGGGCCAGCAATGGCTTTAACGCCACACTTTAAAAAGTAATGGTTAAGGCGATTAATCACGCAGCGTTTCAATTCAAAGATTTTAAATTTTTAAAATTTTACTTTTTTCAAAATATCTTTTTCACTTTTACTCCAACTTTAACACTAATTTCTCATATATAAGGCGCGAGTCAAGACGCGTCTTTTGACGTATCACACACCAAAATCGGATCTAAAAAACCTATTTTATCGAATTTTTAATCGCGGAGCACTTTAAAAACGTGGCGTTCGGAACGGCAGTTGACACCGGACTGGGTTAGGTTAGGTTAGGTTAGGTTAGGTTAGGTTTTTTTTTTTTTTTTAATTTAGTTCCCCCTAACATGGAGATCAGGGACTTTGTCCATCTTTTATTTTTATTTTTATTTCTTTATTTATATCTTTTCTAATTTTTTATTTTATCTTTTTGCTTTTTTCTTTTTTACTTCTTTTGACTTACATTCTAATACATTTCTTTAAATTTAGTTTACACATGTCTTACATTACTATATTCATCTTTATTACTATATCTTAATCTACTTTTATTCTTAGATTTATCTTTAGCTCTTAGTTTCTGATGCAGTTCTTATTTCTATTTTAATACATTGTTATAATTATATTACTTTTTAAATTTGTTACTATTACTTAATCTATTTTTATTTTTGCTATTTTTATGGGGCTGTTTACATTATATACCTATATATAATTTACAGTTTCCCTTTTCATACTCTTATTTATTCTTTTGTATCACCTTATTAGCTATAGTTTTACAGTACTTTAGGAACCTACTTCTAACATATTTATTTCTTATTATTTTACATATATTTTCTTTACTAATTTTTATTGCTAATTCTATTTCTATATCATTTCTATATTTTCTGTAGACAGGACATTCTGTAATAATGTGTATTACACTTTCTTCCTTCATCGGATCACAGACACATGCCGGGCTCTCTTTGCATTTGAATCGATGCAAATATTCTGAGAACCCGCCATGTCCTGTCATCACTTGCACCGTTAGCGAGTCCATGTATATTTTCCTTATTATAGGATAGGCGCTTAAGGCGTCTGGAAAGAAGACTTTTGTTACAGAGGCCGTTTCGCCTTCCATGTAGAGCCGGTTCCATTCGTCAAGCGAATCTAGACGAATCTGTCTCCTGACGAATGAAGTCGGGCACTTATCGTAGTCCGATTTGCGTTTAATTTTTAATGCAGCCTCTTTCGCTAACTTGTCCGCCCTCTCGTTTCCCTCCAATCCTGCGTGTGCCTTAACCCAAAACAATTTAAGCACTTTTCCCTTTTTGTTTATTTCCGATATGTTTTTTCTAATTTTTTCCGCTAGGGGATGGAGGGAAACGCTCTGAACAAGTGTCTGGAGGGCAGATCTAGAGTCGCTGTATATGCGGCAGATCTGTGCCGGATCTTTCAGGGCATAATTTGTTGCCTCGTATATGGCCAGCAATTCTGCCTGGTAGACAGTGCAGAAGTCTTCCAACTTTAATTTTCGGGTACTTGTCTCCGCTGCGTCATTCCAAATTGATAACGCAGCGCCGACTTTCCCCTCGATCTTGCTCCCGTCTGTAAATATTTTTAATTCATTTCTTCATTGTTATGTTGGTCGACCTGTGCACCATCCTCCAGGCATGTGAACTGCAGCCCAACTTGATACGCGGGGTGAGGTGTCTTTACGTACTCTACTTTTCGTTCCACGACCCGATCTCCCACTACTCGCTGGGAATAACCTTTCTTTATTTCATAAAATAAGGCTGCTTCCCGGACTCTTAGGTCCAAGGGAAGCAACCCAGCGAGCAGTAGGGCAGAGTGCAGTGATACGGTTTTATAAGACTTTATTATTTTTTGAACGAACCCGCGTTGTACCGTGTCGAGCTGCTTTTTTACTTTTTGTTTATATGTTGCCGGCGCCCATACGCTTGCCGCATACAATATGATCGGCTCCGTTACTGCCACATAAATGGTCCTGATTATCTCCGGGTTCAAGCCCCAACTAATTCTTGCAGCTCTTGTCAATTGACAGTACAGTCTTTGTGCCTTGCAACACACATTTTTCACATGTGTGTTGAAGGTCAGCCTATCGTCTATAGTGAGCCCAAGAATTTTCATTTCCCTGGACAATTCTATGTTCTCCCCGCCCATTTTTAGAAGTGGTGAGTCACACTTTACCTTTTTTGTTATCACCATAGCTTTCGTTTTGTGTGGTGCGAATTTGAGCTTGTTCTGGACTCCCCACTTCTGAACATGTGCAAGGGCTGCATTGACCCGATCCTGTACATCCAGTGCCTTATCCCCGGAGAAAATCAGGACCACTTCGTCCGCGAAAGCCTGGCAATATTCCCCTTTTTCGCTTAGTTCGTGTAGTAGTGGGTCAATCAATAAATTCCAAAATATGGGACCGCCTATCGATCCCTGCACACATCCCTTTTCAGTCTTTTTCACCCATTCTGCTCCTGCGTACCTGATGCAGACTCTTCTGTCTTCAAAATAGTTATCTATAACCCGTCTTAGGTTTATCGGGCACCGAGTTTCTGCCAGCCTGCATCTGATAGCCGGCCACCACGCATTATCGAAGGCTCCCTCTATGTCCAGTGACACTAGCACTATTATCTTTTTGTCCTCGAGCTTAGATTTTATGAGCTGTATCATGTCATAGAGGGAGTCCTCGGTGCTGCGCTGTGGCATGAATCCGTATTGTCTCCGGCTAAGTTGGGGAACAATATGCCATTTTATTCTTTTAATTAAAATTTTTTCCAAGATTTTCCTAAACACAGGTAGCAGTCCAATGGGTCGATAAGATTTGGGATGCGTGTAGTTCTCTTTCCCAGGCTTTCGCAGTACGACTATTACCGCCTCTTTCCACTTCTTTGGGAAGTATGACAGACTGAGGCATTTATTTAATAAAAAGCCAAGAACATTGTCGGATCTAAAGTAATGACTGTTTCGCAGATATCGGCCGTGAGACCGTCGTTCCCTGGTGCCTTTTTTGGGTTGAAACTAGACACAGACCACATCAGCTCCTCCATCGTAAAAGGTGGGTCACATGAATCATCATGTGACCCTTCGTTTACATCTCTTGCTGCCTCTCTCAACAGCCTGTGTCCTGCATCTTCCTCCCGAGTGTCGTCTTCTGGGAAGAACGTATCTGCCAAGGTCTTGGCTGATTCCTGGTTCCCCATGGTTTTTCCATTTAGGATGAGGGGAATGTCCTCCTGCCTCTGCTTTGTGCGACCTATCACTCTATAAATTCCGTCCCACATTGATTCTCGCTCCTGTCGGCAGCAAAAGTTCTTCCAGCTGGAAGTTTGGGCCCTTTTGACTTCCTGCTGGTACTCCTCTTTTGCATTGAGGTACTGCTCCACGACCCATTCTCGACGAATTGGTGCTGCACATGATATTCGACGCTTTAATGTGGAGACTTTCTTCTTGCGCTGTGTTAATTCATCGGTCCACCAGGGCAATCCTATTCGTTTTTTGTTCTTCAATTTGGGTAGATATTTATCACATGCTTCCATTACTGTCTTTGTTATTTCTTCTATCTTTGTTTCGATGTCTTCTCTTGTTTTTATTTTGTCTATTTCTGTTTTGACTATTGC